CCTCCTCCTTCTCTAGAGCTGCCTGTTTCATATGTTTGCCCATTTATTAACAGGATTACTTGAGGTTTAATTTTTCACATTCTTTATAGATACCAGATGCCAATCCCCTGTGTGATGTGGAGTTGGTGAAGATTTTCTCCCCACTCTGTCAGTTGTCTCTGTGCTCTGCCAATGGCTCCTTTGGCTTTAGGAAACCGTGCAATCCCACCTCTTGATTCTTCCTTTTGTTCCCTGGGAGTCTTTCTCAGAAGTCCTTCCCTGGACCCACATCTTGAGATGTTTTCTCATGTTTCCCCCCAGCAGTTGCAGCTCCTAGCCTTACAGTCAAGTTTTTGATCCACATTGGATGGATTTTTGTAGTGGATAAGAGATGGGGATCTGGTTTCATTCTTATACACGTGGACATCCAGTCCTTCTGGCACCATTTGTTGAAGAGGCTGTCTTTTCCAATGTCTGATTTGGGCACCTATGTCAAAGATTCAGTGGTTGTAGCTGTGGGAGCTCATTTCTAGGTCCTCCATTCTACTCTACTGGTGTGTGTGAGTGACTGTGGAGATGTCCCTGAGAAGCAACAGAAGTGTTCCCAGAGGCTATCCCATGACTTCCTGTTCTGTGGCATTTACTATGCAAAGCCACATTATGGTGATGCTTAAATAAAAACAGTCTGACTCTTAGCATCCATTTTAAGCTAAGAGCAGGCCTGAATTGCTGAGAATTTGTTCCTTCAGAATTCTCTGAGAACTGTACTTCTGAATAAGGGCTCACTCTTTGATCGAAACAGCATATCCAGCATGAAATGGGGAAGTAAAAGTTGGACCCGTATCTTACCAGAGAGTGCTGCCCTTTCTGAGGCCTAGATCAATGTGCACACACACACACACACATAGGTGCTATTAATTTCTCTCATTGTTTTCAATGAGATAAGCACTATTTGCAGTACTTTTGGTATGTAAAACATACATATGCACATTCATATATTATTTTGAGTCCAGGGTAAGGAAAGATTAAGGTTTTAGGTTATAAGAGATGCTCCAGGCTCAGTGAGCTTGTTTACATTATAAATAAGATTAACGTTTGAGCTGCAAGGTTAGGTAAAAGTCATTTGTCCAGCGTGTGCCCATATTGTAAAAGTCATTAAAACACTGCTCCAGCTGAATTAAAGCCACACAGATTAAACAGTCACAGTCAACCCTCCTGGGCCTGTGATGGATGTGCATGTCCTTCTCCTTCCTCTCCCTGGCCACAGTTTCTCTCATCTGCAGTGGAGGTTGTGGAACATCGATGTCTGTGATTCCTGGAGACAGGCTAGTCACAGAACAGTGAGAGCATCAAATGATAGATGGGCAGCTGGGGGGCCTGAGTCAAGTCAGGGAGGTCTGCCAGGAGGAAGCTGCCTCCTAAGTGAGGATGAAGGAGAAGGAGGATGGTGGGGGGTGGAGGGTGGGGGGTCAGAAGGGCCAGGTGACCTGAAGCATAAGGACAATACCCACAATGCTCGAAGTAAAGAGGGGCAACCCATTTAGGGAAGCTTAACTCAGTCAGAGCCTCTCCGGGCATGCATGTAACTGGCATTTGTGAATAAACTCATGCTTATTGTAATACCCTCAGAGAAATACCACACAGTTTTGGGTAGAATCAGAAATCCTTTATTAGCTGGCAGACAGAGAGGGTTCTAACACCCAAAAGGACTCTTGACCCTGAAGGGAGGAAAGTGGGGTTTATAAAGCTTAAAACCATAATTACATCATGCCAGGGGCAAAGCCAATAACCATAGTTACATCAATCACCATAGTTATACCAGACCAGGGGCAGATCAGTTAACAAAGAGGTTTTCATTTAACAAAAAGTTTCAGTTCAGAAAAGCAAGTTTCTCAGTATTGCAGAAACAATGAGCTCCATAGAGATGCAGGTATAGCTGAGAGGGAGGACTTGCTACCTGGAGGTGCTACCTGGCTAGTTGTAGAAACAATGTATCCTCTGATTCTACAGGTGTGGCCTTCATGGCTGACTGACTGCAGTGGGAATAGCTGGATAGAATCACAAGATAAATCAAAGGTCAGCTAGAAAAAAATAGAGTTAGTTTTGCCATTTCATTTACATATGACAAGAAACAGCATAGATAAGAAATAAGATTTTGGACTAGGGCAGTGCTTCAGTAGGTAAAGCATTTATCATGCAAGCATGAGGATGTGAGTTCAAATCCCCAGAACTACATAAAGC